TGAGTGACTAATTATAACTCTTATTCAGTGTACTGTCTTAGTGAAATATTTCTAGACTTCCTAACTGTCTGATGGAGAAAAATCGAAGCAGAATTTTTTTAGCCTATTACAAAGCACATTATTTGAAGGGTGTGCAATATAGAAAAGGGAGAAAATATGCATGTAGCACTTACTATTGCTCATTTTTACTGTTTTATTAAAGAGCAACTTGAAAGGAAACAAAAATCAATTCCCTACCACACACTGTGCTTTTAGCCACATCATTCTCAACGTGGGTGTTGGAAGCCTTCACTATTGCAAATAAAACCTGTGGACATGGAGTTTAAATGCAGGAGGCAATGAAGGCCTGCATCTGTGAGCTGGTATTGAGGTGCTGAAGGCCTGGGGCTTTAGCAGATGCAGTTGCTTGTAGCAAGCAAGAAGAGAGAAGCTTCTTTCCCAGTGCAGGGTTGGTGGCTTAGCTCAAATCTGCCACGTGGTTGATGCTGACGTGCCAGACTTTGCACTGAAACAACTGAGGATTGTTCACAAGTTCAGGTTCACCTGCTGTGCTCTAACGATGTCTGAAGCAAAGCTGTAGATCATTTGTGAAGGGAACATATGGCTCCTTTCTAAACATGAGGATGGAGTTTGTTAGTTATATATTTTAAATATCCCAGGACCTCACAAGCAGTATTTAAAGAGATTTTTTTTTAATCTGCAGTTGGTTGATGTTTATCAATATTTTTTGGTTTTTTCTAAGGTGATCTGTACCAACTGCATGCTTTTAGATTTATAATATGTCATGTTCATGGTTTTAGTTTGTTAGTGCGTTGACTTTTAATGTAACATCATATGAGATAAGTGTTTAATAATTATGTCTTTTCCTAACACCAAGTCAAGAAGAGATAAGCTATGCATTAATTCAAAAACACTTAGATGTGTGTAGAAGAGGAATTAATATAATGGCTCACACAAAGTTTAGGAGAAAAAAGTGTTTATTAACTACTGTTGCTACTTGACAGTTGTGTTTCTAACTTTTTTTTGGCTGAAAGTTCTAAGTTTTGGCTGGGAAAAGAGATTTCAGAGCTAGCATTTTAAATTACATAAATCCTAATTAAGAATAAAAATTCTTGTGGTTTCTCAAATACTATTTTCCAGCAAAAGTAACTTGAATGTCTGGTTTAATGTAGTTTTCCCCTTCAGGAAAGAATTATCCAACATGAATTTGCTAACAGCATAATACATAGATCCAGACTTTTTAACAAGAATCCTCATCAGATATTAGGGTTTGGGGTTTTACCTCCAAATGATGAAAACCTCCTAAGTCTTGCTTTTCACGTTTTGGAAGATCTTGATGTGTAGATTGGCATCCCCAGGGTTCCACTTTTGTCTCCCTTGTCTTTAGGATCACACTCAGAAGTGTAAATTGCCGGTGTCTGGTTGAGCTTGGTCTCAGCTGCTCATGGGAAACACAAGATTTGTTCACCTCTGGATTCCTGTTTAGGGACAGCCAGCTATCAGGTGTTACCAACAAGCTCAAGCACACCCTCCATGCTGAGTTAAAATGAGCAGCAAGAGGAGCAGAAATGTGATTCTTCATACAGGGGCTGAGCATTAAGAAAAGATCTGGGAGGGGAGATTCTCAACCTAGAACTCACACTGGCTGTGGCCGAGAAGAAAGGGTACAACCAGAGCGTGTAGTACTTGACTGGAACTGTCAGGATTATTCACTGGTGCATTCAGAGTTCTGCACTGAATTCTCAGGCTTGTGTGTGGAAACCAGCACTGACTTGCCCGTTTCTGCAGGCAGTTGTTGCTTTGGACAGCCGTCCTCGATGTAGATGTGTTTCCAGTCTGACTGCATCGGCTGGCTTCCTGTTCATGGGCACGGAGCAAGGACTGCTTCTCTAGGGAATACTCAGATGGAACAGAATTGCATTTTTCTGTTCTTTCTGCTGTTCTTTCACATTCATTTCCTCTTGTATGCACATATTGCTACTTTTTTTTTCAGCTCTGGACAGTAGTTTTACGTAAATTGTTTCATGAGACTGTTTATATTTCAGTTTTATAGAAATGCCTTCACTGTGCTATTACCTGATTAGTAGCTGAAAATGAAACAAATGAAAGCTGATGGTAAGGCTGAATGGGAAGATAGAAGTGGGGAGCTGGTGATTGTGTAAAGCATCTCCTCTCTGTGGACTGTGGTGGAGAAAAAACATGAACATTTTTGAGGAAGGTGAATCTTTGGAGTGTTTACTGTTGCTGGCAAGAAGGGGGAAAGATGTCAGATATTACTGGTAATACTTCCAGACTTATTAATATTTCAATATGGTTAGAGAGGATAAAGGTGGGCATTAGTGTTCCATGTTGCCTATACAGACAGATTATGCTGGAGAGATCCATTCTGTGTGTCACCCATCCCAGTGGAGGAGCAATAGTGGGAATGCTCCTGAAAAGCCTTAGTGCAGCTGGCCACAGGGGAGACCAGAAGCCTGAGAAACTCTGTAGCTTGTGCTGAGAAAAATGTCTGTCTCCTCCTTTTTACTTCTTGGAATGGACAGGAGCAGGAAGGGCAGGGAGAGTTTCAGCTTGGATAGTGTCTGTGTGTTCCTACCACGGCTGATGGGAGCTGTTAAAGTGTCAGGCTGATGCAAGGTGTGACTTAATTTTTAGGTTGAGGGGTTTTGTTCTTGCAGGTAGATCTCACAAATACAGGGATCCTGTAAAACCTTGTGAGCAATGAGCAGCAGAAAAGATCTTTGCCTGTCAGTAAAAACACACTGGGGTGCAGAGGATGTGGTCACACATGACAAAAGCAAATATTTAGATTGCAGTTGTGTATTTACCAAAAATCAGGCTGTTGTCCATACTTTGGGTTTTTTCTCCATCTTTTGTTTCTTTAACAGGCCATGAGATCCCCATTAAAATGAAATATGGTATAAGTGATAACTTGGCACAGTGTACTGTAAAATAAGGAATTACAGCTTGTGCTTATGTATTACCCTGTACTTAACAGGACTTAAGTAGAAGAGAGGATTTGCTTGACTAACCTTCTGAAGAGGAAAGCAATCATATGATAGCATAATTAACTTCAGATGGAAGACATATTTTTATTTTAAATGACTAAATTCATGGCTCATTCTTGTTGGCAAGCTATACCCAGGCATTCAGCATTTTCCACCCTAAACTGGGCATGATGCTGAAAGTTGAACTTTGCCTATGGTTGAGCTGCATCTCTGATGTTGTACCAGAGATTTCAGAAGTCTTTTTTTTTTTTAGGAAGATCAACATGCCTATAAAATCTATTATATAGGCATTCAGACTTAAGAGTTAGGAGGAAAAAAAAAAAAAGAAAAGCAAAGCCTATAAACCCTTTTAGACTATAAAGCTCTTCTAATGGAATTTTATTAATTATTGAAAATTATCATAATGGTAACCATGCCTCTTTATTACTGCTAGATCTCAGGTACTGATTTTGGTGTGATGCAAGGAAGGTCTGATTCCTGAACTGCAGTAAAGCCAAATGTCCTATTATTATGTAGCTCTACTGACTGAATTGAGAATACACTTTAAATTGCTGCTATCTGTATGCATGCTCTGTATGTTCTTATTCAGAGCAGAAATCAGAGCTTTAGATGTCGGTGGTCTGGTCTGCAAGAATCCCACAAGGATAAGAACACAGGCAGAATATTTTGAAAGTGCTTATTGATTTGAAATTACAAAGTCATTGTACAAACTGCTTTGCTTCAGTGCTATTGTCATTGGCAGTACAGCTCAGTTTGTCAAATCACTCCTGCTGCAGAATCTGACAAAGAAGTGGGGACTTCCTGCCATGACTTTTCTTTTCCCCATCAAGTTCATTTTGTAATGCTTGGCTCACATTTCAATTTTTATCTTTAAAAGAAGCTATATGCAAAAAAATTGGGAAATAGATAGATCAGGTTGTGGATTTTGCAAATAATAATATAATGCAACATTCTAACTTTTTACCCACACGTTTTTGTTGCTATTCTGTTCTAATACTGCAGCCTTTTTTTGTATTTTCTTTTGGGCTCTCTAATTAAGATATTCTGGATGAAATTGTTCACAGTTGCTGCCACAGCATAAAGTATTCCTAGGTTGATGGCTGGCTGACTTTAATGATCTTGATTCTTGCCCATAGGAAAAGCCAGAAATGATGCAGGTATAATTTAGATAACTGTGGGATGAACTACCTAAATTGAAAACCTTCTCTTCCACTGCTTTTGGCAAGAATCTCTCCACCATGGTAATAATTTTTCTTGCCTTAAGGGCCTGCATTAGAGGGTTCTTCTAAGAAGAAAGTTCCTTGGAGTTGAAGGGGCAATGTCCTTTAACACTGCTGCTTTTTTCCTTGGCTCATGGGCTAGAAATCTTGCTCTGTATTACAGTCTTTAATGCATTGCAGTAATGTAGAATGAAAAAATATTAAAATGGGGAAATAAGAAGAAAAAAAGATCTTGTGAAACCACAGGAAATGTTTCCTGTGAGATGTGATGTAGTGCTGCTCAGTTGTTAAATTAGATCATATTGCAACATTTATTAATTGGGTCATATATCTGGTGCCAAGTTTCAGATCATGGGTATTTGATAAAGTGATAGCAGAGCTTGAAAAACTAGTTTTATATTTAAGAGCCATATATATCCTATAAATGTTTGACAAATGAAAACAAATTGTTCCAATTTATTAGTTTTAAGCTCACTTTAATTAGGAAATTATCTTGTTATTTTCAGTATGGATTAGCATAATTTTTGAGTCTTCATAGACCGATTTCTGTAATTCAGCACTTTTACTTCAAGTCAGAGTTGAAATCGCTGCAACCATTTTCTCTTGTGGTCAGAAAGGAGCACACTGAGTTTTAATGTTATAACAAATATTACCCAGTAGGACCCTTCAGTCAGTCTGGACTGTGGATTCGTGAAAATAAAAGGCAGGATTCTTCAGGCTATCTGTCAGAACTGTGAAATGAAGCTCAGTTATGGTCCATGTTTCTCTTTAGATCTCATAAATGGAGCCCAGGAACAGTGTGAATTGCCTCCTATGGATGGTTTTCCTCACTGTGAAGGGAAAATAAAGGTAAGTGAACTGGTTTTAATCTTATGTGCATTCTATTAAAAATATGGAACATATGTTGCAAAAGGTCACTACTCAGTGGTGTAAAACAAGAACAAGTGAGCCAAAAAATAGGGTATTTAGGACTGTGTGATACTGCAGCATTGCTCACCTCAAGCCTTTAATACTGCTGCTGCAGAGAAATAAAGTGGCATCCTCTTAAGACAGGAAAAAGTTGCCATATTAAAATCCTATATTATTTACTGAAAAGCGTTACTGTTGTTATTCACAAACTCCTCCTTTTGCAAAACCCCTCTTCTACCCATGATGAGTAATTTGGTGCTCCCCTGCCCCAGGGCTGTGATTCTGTGAGTACCTGACTCCAGCCCCTTTTTCAGCATGAAGTTTCTTTGCAATTCTTTCATCTCTTTGCCCACAGGTCTGTGTGGTTCCTCTGTTCCCCTTTTCTCTTGAAAACATTCTGCCTCTTCTGCTCAGGAATAGGCAGTGCCTAAGTGTGCAACCAGAATTCTGGGATTTACAGTGGGTGCTACATAAGTCCTGTATTTTACTGATAATGCAGTTGGAAAGTCTAAATATTACAACTTATCAGACTTTAGTTGGAAAGGGAAAAAAAAAAGGCAGCAAAAACAAAGAAACAAACTCCAACAAACTTGCAGAGATGGAGGTTTTTAAGGGTTTTTTCCTCCCAAGATATGTTTCAAGTGTAAGGGATACTGATTTATTACTGTGAATGCTCATCTCTAAAAGATCAAGGCCAGGTTGGATGGGGCTCAGAGCAAGCTGGTCTAATGGAAGCTGTCCCTGCCCATGGCATGTGTATTGGAATGAGATCATCTTTAAGCTCTCTTCCAACCCAAATCATTCTGTGATTCTATGATTAGTGGGGGACAGTAGTAAAATTTCTGCTTGCTTAAATACACAGGTATTTGTGAAATTAAAAGTCTCTACATTTTGAATCTCTAGTCTGTGTTTTGATCTGTTTTGGCAAACAGACTGCATAGTGACTATGTAATAAATTATTGGAATATTGAAATATAAACTGAAATTCATTATTTGCTTCTGTAGAAATGGCATATTCTTGGCAGATTTCAGTCTTGGTAACTGAAACGATCTGTGAAATTCTAGAGGGAGCATATCATGGTGGGGAACACACAGTGCATTCAACTCCAGCCACAGCCAAATGTCTGGATCCCAATTTTATTTTCCTTTTGGAATTTGTCTCTGCTTGCCTGGCTGCCAGTTTGTATAAGCTGTGTTCACATCTGCTGTGTTGTGGCTTCCTCAGCATTACTGAACGCAGGGATGCAGTATGCTGCTAATCATTAATAAAATCCCGGGTTTGTTATTTGTAGTGTTTATAGCTACTTTGCCACTTCTTCCATTATTCCTGGTTGTGAAACAGAGATGTTTTGTGTGCTTTAAACTAATAAAATTCTGTGTCTTTTGTTCTGTTTCAGTGGATGAAAGATATGTGGCGATCAGATCCCTGTTACGCAAGCTATGGTGTAGATGGGTCCACGTGCTCCTTTTTTATTTACCTCAGTGAGGTCAGTAATCTTTTAATCTGCAGAACAACATATTGCCTTCAGAGCTTTGTAACTGTGCTTTTTTTCGAAGGAAATCATCGTTTTGTTCAAAATAATTGTGTCAAGAGGAAAGAGTTATTAAAATGGAATTATTAAGTGTGTTGCTATTATTCATAAACTCTGCAGGGGGTCCTAGCCTGGAGAATTCTGATGTTTGTAACTGCAATGATGTAAGCAGCAGCTCTTCAGGGAGTCCACCTTGGGTATCCTGTTAAACCTGAGTATGGAGCTCAGTCAGAGATCTTTGCCTTTAAACGCTTTCTCTGTTGCTTTTAATGCAGCTCCTGAGGTACTAATAGGGAGGCATTTGGAATGGAAAATTTAGAAAGTTGTGCTAGGTGATCCATTGTCCGAAGCAGCATGGCCACTTCCTGCTTGGAGACTGTTTGTGAATTGTGGAATCTGTTAGCAGAAATAAAAAAAAAAAAAACGAACCACTAAATGTCACGTTTTTGAGTGAAGTTGCAGCTATATTGGCTAAAGCCTTTGGTATCTGTCACGGTGTTTTGTGCACAGCTGAGTAGGGTGCTTGTCCTGGTGAGGCTTTTTTTGTTTTTTTGTTTCCTGGGTAACACTTGTTTCCCAAGAATTACTTTTGTCAATCAATTATCATGAACTCTATTACTGGCTTGAAGTACTTGCACCAGAAATAGTCAGGTGTATTTGATCACTCGGCCTCTTCTTCCTTATAAGTGAAAGTTTGATAACTTATGGCAACTGATCTTAGAAGTAGTATTGATATCCAGTGGCTCACTGCCTGCAAAGAGCTGAAAGAGCCAATGTGGCTGCAGGATTGTAGCTAATAATAATTTCCTAGCTTCTATAGGATTGGGCTGGGATTTTAAATTATTTATCGGAGATTAAAACAGTAAGGCTATTATAATAAATAACTCCGTTGTAATCAAAGCAGTTTCTGTTGATTTACTCAGCCGACTGTCATTGAATTTCTGGGGGTGTTGCTTGAAGCAGCAATAGTTAAAGGCGTATCCAAAACATTTATCTGAAGGCACAACAGAGGCCGGGTTGAATCACAGTTTTGACTCATTCCATTCCTGTGTTGATTTATTCATGGACTGGGAAGCTATGGAAGGAAAAGATACAGGATGACTTTATTATTTGTCTTGTTATTTATCACAGAGGATAGAGATACGGTTTCATAATCATCTGAGATTGATCTAAGGTTTCTACTAAAAGGTTTTGTTTTAGCATCAGCAGAGCTATGTTTGGTCATTAGTATTCTGTCAACCAGCAGGTGCTTCATGGTTTTAATGCAGATATATTGTAAAAATGATGCTGTATCTCAGCTGAATGCAAGAATCTAATATTCTTCAATGACACTTATTATTTTGCATTTCTGTTAAATCCCAGTTTTTTACGTGACAGTCTTCCCTTATCATCAGTTTTTAAAAGTCAGTTGATGTTGTTAGCTCTTTCATAATTGATATTTCATGACCAAATGTGAGAGACTTTCAGAGGCCAAATAGTTGTTTTTTCAAGGGTCTGGGATTTGAAATTTTTCTTGAGGCAGCGCTATTTAATGCGGTCAACTTTTCATTTCATGAAAGAATAAAAGTGCAATTAGCCTGTGTGCATATTTGGTAACGTTAGAAAAAGGTCTTTTTTTTTGTTTTAGTGTGTTTTCTTATGACAGAATGTAAAACTAATATTGGGTGAACGTGTTATTAACCTTGAGTTTAAATTTGGCATTCTTAATCCTATGATTAATTTTATGATTAATGTCCAGCAGCAGAGGTTGAAAGCTTAAATGTTTGCGAATGCAAGCATGAAATGAAATTCTAATAACACTACAATGATGTGGATTTATGAGGTGTGTTGGCTGCTAGGGATAACGTGGAAATGCTGTTGCAAGAGTAATTTGTCAAAGTGGACAGTGATGAAGAGTTGACAGTTTATAGCATGGTTGCACAGCTGAATGATAAATGTGTCTACAGAGCTCTCAAGTCAGAACTGCTGATTTAAAATATTAAAATGCATTAGGGTAATGGAAAGGATATTACTGTTAAGATTTTTCTTTTTTACTTCAAGGTTAGACTATTGGAGTGAGATGGTTGTGTATGTGCATGTTTCAAAAGGTAATATATGCATAAAATCATGTACAACCACAGTTTGGAAAAACAATGTGTATGAAATTATGCATATATCTAGTTTTACTCTTAAAAACACCTCTACAATCTAGTGTGACAAGTCTCTGCTCTTTCATACTCTTCCAGAATCCACTTTTTTTTCTCCTGAAGCTGTTCGGTTGGGGTGTTACATTATGCTCATCCAGTGCTCTTTGTAATGTGATTTTAAACCTGTAAACAAAGGAGCCCAAGACGTTTGGTTTTGGGGAGCAGTATGAACCACAGAGACACAAAGTCATCTGTCCACAGTTTATGTAAAGGTTTAGAAACAAAAGGTTGGCATAAACCCTGGCCTTTGGGTATCAGCCATGTGCTCTGTTATGTTTTCCCCATGAGTGTCTGCAAAACAGAAATAGTGCTGACAAAATCCAGGCTGCCCCTGAAGAGCCTGCCCTAGTGCAGGTATCAGCACTTTGGATACACTCCTGCAGGAACTCGGGAACAGCTCCTCTCCCTCCTCTGTGGCTTGGCTGCTTGAACAGAATGGGAGAGAACAGAATGGGAAAGCAAGAAGCAACCCAAGATATCCAAGCTTCTGCCTTTTATTTAAAGCTGTCCCCTGTGCAAACTTGCAGATGAAACTGTGAGAACTTTTGCACTTTTTTCTCACTGTTTTGCTTCAGGCACTGGATCATTCCTGGGGTGTGGATAGGCAACTGTGTGGTCACAGACTCAAGGAATGGTTGGAAGAGTCTTTAAAGATCATCTTGTTCAAACCCCTGCCATGGGCAGAGGCACCTTCCACTATCCCAGGATGCTCCAAGCCCTGTCCAACCTGGCCTTGGACATTTCCAGGGATGGGGCAGCCACAGCTTCTCTGGGCACCCTGTGCTGGGACCTCACCACCCTCTGGTCCTCAGAACACAAATTGTGCTGGAGTCTTTGGAGAGTGGTCTCAGTAGCAAAACCAGACTTACATTCTCTTGAATAGAGTCAGGGATTAGAAATAGCAAACATTACAAAGCAAGTTAAACTTGCTTCCTTTTAACCATGATACCCATAGAGAAGAGCTACTTACTTTTAAACTTAGCATTCAGTTAGTTTTGAAAAAGGCAGTTGTTTAACACTGTAATGGCATTGGCACAGTTATCATTTTCAGGGATGGCATTGCCTCTGGGGATAAATGTGAAAAAATTAATTTGTAGGCAGTACAAAAATACATTTCACTGCAAAATGTCAGTTTGCAGCTGAGGAATGAAGTTTTTAAAAATATCTTCTAGAAAATGAGTTTTTCACACTATTTCCAAGCTTTAAAAAAAAAAAAAGTGGGGAAAGTGGAGGGGGCTTATACACTTTTTTTTTTCTTTATCTACATATGTGTTTCTCTGAGATGTCTGCTTTCCACACAGGAATAGGACTGGTGGTCAGCTGGTAGCTGTGGTGTAAGATACCACCTCCCATTACACTGGTGCTTACCTGCTGGAGCTGGGCAGATCTCTCTAAAATCCCAGGCTCTGGATCTCCAGCTCACCTTTCAGGTTCACATGTAATTTTTGGTACCCGTCTTGGAATCCAGCACTTCAAAGATTTAAAACTGATTTGAATTCCAGTCTGTGAGCTGCATGTCACATTTTGCATGTGTGCTAATACACTAGTGGAGAGAATTCTTATTATCAGTCCTTCAGACTTAATGGAAACACAAGATATAGTTTGGTAGTGGGAGTATTTTTCTTCACACTCCTGATTTGAGGGCTGAAGCAGAAAAACACAAATCAAAGGTGATTTTGAGCATGGATTTGTTTCCAGGGTGCAAAATGTAGTCTGAGGCACAACTTAGTGAAAATTCCTGGGTATCATAATTATAGAGGTTCCTAAATCCTTTTGGTTTTTCTAGTTTACTGCAGCTTGCTCACACCTATGGGAAAGTCCCCCGTCCATTCTTTCTGCTGCTGATCCTGGACATTGAGTTAATGATTTTGCATTTCTTCCATGTAATGTAGCATCAAACCAGCTTCTTTCAATTCTATGCAAATACTCAGAAATTTCGTAAAACTGGTGTTGTTGTTTGAAATGTAAATTACCAAAAGTTCAGACTTACTTATTCATCTTACCTATGTCCCTAAGAAACTGAAATGCTAATGGTAGTCAGCACTTTGTCCCTGAATTATCTTCTGGTGGATTGGCCTGATTTTGAGCTATTTGGGCTCAGTTATTTTTAGTTCTTCTGTCACCTTAAACTGGGATTAGTCATGTAATGACTTGTTGGGAAAGACATAAATGCCAGTGTATGAGAGGAATCAAATACAGTGCACATTACTGGAGTCAGACAAGAGGACATTGGTTGATTGATGTATGAAATGTTGTGTTGCCACGTCACTGGGGCTGTGGGTACAACACCCAACATTGGAGTCTGCTTTTGGAAACCACCAAGGCCACCTGTGCCCTACTCCATTTCACTAAGCAGGCAGGCCCTCGTCTTGTGATCACAGATTCTGCAACCCCTTCAAAGGGATTCTGTCACTGAGGAAATGCTAAACAAAAAATAGGAGTTGAGAGAGTCACCTTCCCAACTGGGGCTGTTCTTTCCTGCCTTCATCCTGCTAATATAGATTTACTTTCTTTCACCAGATATTGCACTGGATTTTTTGTAGTTTGTGTATTCTTCTCTCTTAGGCTGATTTAAGACACTTAAGTGAATCCCTGTACCATGGACAGAAGTACACCGAGCAGTGTGTTCACCTGGTGTGCAAAGGAAGTTGTTTTAGCTTCCCTGTGGATGGGCTGCACCTGCCCTTTGGCAGAGTCCAAAATGAAGATTATCCCAAGTGCTCAGAGCATACCTTTCAGCTCTGGCTTTATTCAGTGCCCACTGTGACTCTTTGAAAGCATAAAAGTCTTTCTGAAATTTTGGATGTGGAGAGTTGCTGGCAGAGTATACTTTGATTCAATTTGGAAGATGCTCAGACTACTCCAATGCTACAGATGTTTGCCAGGTTCTTAAAACTCCACTTGAAGTACTTGCTCTGTAATAGAGTCAAGTGCTGCAATCTTGCCTTGCATTCAGTTTCAGAGTGTGTCTGAGGAAGAGTCACTGGAACAGATAGCTGCAAAGCTTCTGTAAAGCAAGTACTCTTCAAATTGATTAAGTTTGTTTGGGTTTTTTTTTCATCCTAAACCTGGCTATTTACACCTCAGAGCAGTTCAGAACACCAGCTTTTCTCTAGTATCTGGAATCACTTAGCACTTAAAATTTGAGCTTTTAAACTGTTGTGCAACTTAACCTTAAGGTGCTGGCTACTTATCCTCCAGGCAGTGCTGTGACTAATGTCATTCCAAACCAAGTATGGAACACTTGACTTCTCAGGTAGACATGGTTTCCTGAGCAGGATCAAAGACTGTCTAATGCACTTGATTTGCATTGGATTCAGTGCCAGAACAGGAGGCACAGCTGGTCTTATTCAAAAATATGACAGTACAAAGATAAATATAGTGTGTTCTGAATAATAGCTTAGCATTTTTATCATTCATCCAAAAAATGATCTGTCTTCAAATCTGCAGTTGCTGCTTCCCAACAGTCATCTTTAACTGCTAATCTGTCTGGTATCACATCCTTCCTATTAAATCATTTACATGACAGTACAACAGTAGGTTGCTGTAGAGAGAATAAGCTGGAGGAAGAATTGATGGTAACCCAGTGAGAGGAAGGCAGTGCTGGAAATGGGGAAGAGTAGTCCTGGTTCCTTCTTCAGAGGCAACTTTAGACTTTGGTCCTAAATGGTCAAATGAACAAGGTGAGGAGCAGGATCTAAATGAACATCACTGCCTTCATTCACCTTGCTCAAAGTTAGGGCTTGTTGTATGCAGATCTTCTGTACCTAAACAAATACAAAGCTGAAGTATTTATATGTTTCTGATGAGTCTTCATCTAGACCCACTTTAGTGATATCATAATCCTTTCTGCCATTGTTGCTAAAGATCAATGAGGAAAAATGAGAGCCAGACCAACTGCAGATACTGATATTGCATTGAATCTATTCCTTAAGTGTTTATTTGTGATGAGAATTATTGTAATTTATTTTTAGACTAGAGGGAATATTTCTAAAAGCACAAAAGAACTGTATTTGTTTTTCAGTCAGTGAGGCATGCAGTGAACTGTCCTTGGCAGTCCTGAAAAATCTGCAATTCCTTTAGGATGCCTTGTGGTGCAATGTGAAATACATCAAGTCAGAAAAGGGGCACGTACAGTAGTCCTTGAAATGTCATATCTTAATTTAGATCAGTTCTAATGGTAGGAATAATGCGAAATTTGTACTATAGAAACAAAGAAAAAAAAAGCAGAGAGAATTTGTGACTGTGCATGATTTGTAATGTGGAGCTTGCAACTCTTTTCTGCCACAACTTTATAGTTCTAAAAGTTAAGATTGATAATTGCCACAATTTCTGATGTGGTATCAGAGTTGAAGACCACTTAAGAATCAGATGGTTTCAAAGGAGATTGATAAGTCACTGCTTTCAAATGTGCTAAACACATTGAGTAGGTTAAGTCATAGCATTCAAAAAGCTTTTTTATAATTTGTCTGAGAAACCCAAGGTTGATACATTTCTTCTCTTTAATGAGGTTAGGATGGCTATTCATTTATTTTCATGTGATTGGCCTTCTAGGCAATCATATGGTGTGATCTTAAGCCTTTAATCTGTAATGCTCCAGGCTTCTGCAGCATGATTAAGCTAAAATTGTGTTTTGACAGGTCTGTGATTGGAGGAACCATAAGAACAACTCTGACTTTCAATTCTCTGAGAGTTGTGAACTTAATCACTAGTGATGGGGTGTCTTAGCCAGCTGATAAATTTTTGCATTTCCCCCTTTTCACAGTACAATCATGTTTCAGTTTCCATGGGTTTGCCTCTAACAGTGAAATTTCTCTTTCCCCAGAGCCAGTGGTCTAATTTCTTAAGGTCCTTAAATAATAAAGATTCTACCCAACAAGCAAGATCCCTGGGGACAGCTCAGGAGCTCTCAGTGACTTGCATCCATTTGCTATTTCTTCACTGACTACTCCCTGTTGTACTTTTTCTAGTAGAAGTATTGCATTTGCCTTGATCATGTTTCTCTAAGAATCACAGCTGTTGATGCTTGTGAATATTGTTAGTTATAATTACCTTATTTATAGCCTTCAAACATGGTGGCTTTGATTCTATGATGATTCTTACTTTTATGGTCTTCGTTGCTACAAGATAGAACTTTGATCCTTTGATTTAGCAGACTTTGTCTTTTTATTGAGATATTCTAGGGAGATGGAAATGTTCCAAAATATGTATTTTTGTAAGGTCTATAAGCATAAAAAACTTACTGAAAACATTTTAGAACGGCTCACAGAAATTGTATTTTGAGCATTTAACAGCTGCCTTGATCTTCTGTTTTCATTACCATGAATGAATATCTAAATGTGACTTTTTCTTGCAAATTTGCTGGGTTAAAAGAGCATTGAATTGCAAAAAGTAATCTTGAGCTTTTCCTACAAAAAAGCAGTTTTATCTTGAAATGATCACCTTATTATCAGCTGTTGCTTTATTTAAGCGATCACAGGTTAACATAAAGGTGTAATATAAAGGCAGTGAGTGGAATCTTTGGTCAAGCAGCTGAAAATAAAGTAACATTATTTATTTTAATGTGATTGTTTTACAGGTTGAAAATTGGTGTCCTCGTTTACCTTGGAGAGCAAAAAATCCTAATGAAGAAACTGATCAGAAAACAGTGGTAAGAGCAACCATGTCCTTAATGGGACAAACATGAGCAATAATGCAGTAATTGTGATTCATGCAAAATATCCTGGAGTTCTGTGTCACATAAATGCTAAAAAGATTAGAATTTACAACTCTTACTCCCCAGTTCTTCAAAGCTGAAAGGAATCCTCCTTGACACGTGTAGCTCATGTAGGCATTGTATTGTGCTCTTACTGGTAGATTTTCATTACAAACATTTTTGTGTTTAAATTTATGAAATACTGTACACAGATACTGAGAAAAATTACAAATCCACAGATTGCTCACCAGTGTTAAGTATATATGAAAATGTTCATTTTTATTGCCCCAAAAATCTCTGCCTTTTTTTACAAAACTGCCTTAATGGAAAAGGCTTATATCCATTTCAGGTTTGTAGTAACATTTTGATTATTCCTAATTTTTTCCCATTAAATACTATACAGCACACAGGGTTGTTTCTAAATTATTACAGCCTAATTATGCAGCAATTAGGTATTTCAAGATAATGTAATTGCTGGGCTGCATATGAACACTACTTACATAATATAGATATAGGCTGTCTCATTTTGTAAAACCAATTGATCTTAGAACAGTCTAGCTTTGAAAGAGTATTTCCTTTAAAATTCATACCCTAGTAATGTTTCTTCCTTTCTGGTGTAATTGGAGACTTCCATGTGTTTGGAAGATGGATGATTTATATATGATATAAATCTTGAGCCTACTGTTCTGTATTATGATTTAGACATACCTTTACCTCATTTTAAAGCACATGAACAAAACCAGATCTTATATTGCAGAAATAAATGCATTGTGAAACACTGCAAACATATTCTGGGCTACCAAGTACTACTAATAAAAATAACAGTAATTTATGTAGCTTAGAAGTGTCTGTTTAAGTATATCTTTAATATTTGAACTAAAATCTTAATCTGCTAAGAGTGTATATATTTCTATTTTTTTTGTTTTTAAGAGAAATATAAAGCACAGAGCTCACATTTGAGCAATTTTTTTTAACTTCTGGAAAGTATTCTGAAGAATAACTGATGTTTGGGGTGTTTCTTAATGCTTTGCTTGAAGGCTGAAATTCGTATCAACTTTGATAATCTCTACAAAATGATGTCAAGGCATGAGGAATTCAGGTGGATGATGTTGCGCATCAGAAGAATGGCTGATACCTGGATTGAAGCCATTAAATCTCTTGCAGAAAAACAAAATTTGGAGAAAAGAAAACGAAAAAAGGTAAATGAGAACACTTATATTCCTGTCACTTGCTGTTATATGGGCTTCTTCCAGGTGTTGATACTCTTTTTAAGAACTGTTCTGCTGTTTGAAATTGTGTTGCAATGGGTGTTTGCTTTACACATAGTTTTATGTGTTTTGCCTGAGTCAATCTTGGAGTAAGTTTTCTGACCTCTGTAATTTTGGAGAAAATACAGACCATGTAGACTAAATAGAGACAGTGTTTAAAGGGAGAAAATGTGAATTTACTGCAAGCTGATGACACTGGAGTGTTTTATGCAATCATGGTAAATAACAGTTGTCCATCTTCATTGTCCAAAATTGAGACTAAATGGTGTATCTTGGGTGTGGATTTGAGTCGAATTAAAGTTGATCAAAACTTTGGATTGGCTCAGTTTAAACTCCTGTAATGAGTTCAGTTTTAAAGGCATGAGATACCTGAAGTGAAAAGGTGTCATTCATTTGATTTAATTTTTTTTTAGTTTTTTTTTTTTATTACCTCAACTAGTTAAGACAAAGCCAAAAGTTGCAAACATGACAACAGGTTCTTTTCCTGCCTTGTTATTCCTGGAGCCAGTCCTAGTGGCAGCAGCCCCATGTGTGTTCATATTTCTACCCTCTCTTAAACCTGGCTGGCTCAGCTCCTTGCTAGAGATTCTCAGTCCTTGCATTCATTACAAAATTAAATTATTTGGGGGGAAGTATTGGCTTCTTTTCATTGATGTTTTTTTGGTTGGGGTTTTTTTTTTTGTTGGTTTGTTTTTTGGTTTTTGGGGTTTTTTTGTCAGTAGTTGGAATTTAATAGAAAGAAAAACTGTAATGTATAATACTTGTATGTTTAATAGCAGATGTCAAGCATATGACTTTCCTTTCCAGATCCTTGTTCATTTGGGGCTTTTGACAAAAGAATCTGGATTCAAGATTGCAGAAAATGCGTTTAGCGGTGGCCCACTTGGTGAACTAGTGCAGTGGAGTGATTTAATTACATCTCTCTACTTACTGGGCCATGACATCAGGATTTCAGCTTCACTGGCAGAGCTCAAGGAGTAAGGAGATTACTTTCACTTTTGAAACTGGAATTAGAAGAAAAGAATTGTAAACTCTTGAAGCTTCTATTAACAGTCTATAATTTCTTGAAGCATAAAATGAAAGTGATAATTCACTAAACAGAGGATAAGATTATTTTCCTGAGCTAAGTATATGTGCCATGGAAAGGATAATGTGTTTTCATTGTAGCTTCAGGCTCCTGGGACTTCATAAATGAATGTTGTAAAATTCCAACTAAGCAGCTTAGTCTTTAACATTCCAGGTGCTTTAACCAGCTGCAGTGGGAAATGTTACAGATTAGCCTAACTCTGTGTCCTCTGCTTCAGTTTCTGCTGTTCTTCACTCATTATCTCATTTTAAGATAAAGGTTTAAGTTCTTTAAACATGTTACTTTTAATGTAGTTAATTGTTTGTGTTAGGTTAAATTGCTCCTTATTCTTCATTGTCCTGCTTTGCCAGCTAGTTCAGCACCAGACATAAAACATCTGTTTGAAGCTTGAGCACATGTGCTTTTTCTGCAGCTTTCTTTTTTAAATTACATGACAGCACTGTTTTAAAGGGAGCTCTTATACTATAAAGCTGTCAATAGAAGTCAGAATTATTTTGAATAATTTCAAAGTACACTATTTTTAAGTATTTCAAATATATTATTCTTTTGCTTAAACTAAATGAGATTTTTAGTGAAAATTAGTGCTTTACATTTAATAAGTGTTGAGCATCTCTAGCATTTCAGTGTTCTTATATGGTTCATGATTTCAAAACAGTAAAAGAGTAAAACTTTTTTGGAAACTGGAATTATTGGAATAAATAGAATTACAGCATCAATTCAAGGTATTTGGAAAGTAATACTTTTTCATATTGCTTCTTTTTTTGTTTAGGATTATGAAGAAGGTTGTAGGTAACAGATCTGGCTGCCCAACCCAGGGGGATAAAATTGTAGAACTCATTTACATTGATATTGTGGGACTGACTCAGTTTAAGAAAACCCTTGGTCCATCATGGGTTCATTACCAGTAAGTATAACACTCACTTGCCCTCTAAACTGCTTTGTTAAAGAGCTTTTGTTGAATAACACATGTCAAAATACTGAAATAAGTCCATTCACATGAATTTATTTAAAAGTGAAAATGTACTTTTATGTTGTCCTTAGCTCTTAGGATTAAAGGGGCTATTACATGTACTTTGCATGCCATCATTATCCCCCCCAGCAAACTTGAGATTCTTGGATTCAAGCATTTATAATTTTAAAAATCTTAATTATCCTCTTGGTGAATCATCATCTCTGCCCCTATTTCCCTCCTTTCTTTACCTGCACTTCCCATTCCCTATTTTTTAAATGAGTAGATGAGCTAAAAGATTACTTTTATTGTTTAGTTGGAATACCAGAGGCATGTTTTGCTTGTTGGTGTTTGTCACCACACTGGACCAATGATTGTGGAGATTTATCTATTCTAATTGTATTGCCCAACAACTGCAGTGCAATTTTCTGTTCCATTCCTTGAGATATTGGAGGGAGAGTTGTCTTCAGGGGCAGGGCTGAAGAATAAACTGTAGTTATTGCTGCTTTTATAATCTATAAACATTCTTCCATTAGAAATGGAAGATGAGGGTCACAAGAAATGACTTTTCTTAGTGTCTGCCGTTTTAGAACCTCTTTTCTTTTTGTCAGTCTCTTTAGATCATTAAGCCTCCCATGCATTGTACAAATACATATCAACATGACATAAACCCAAATCTAAATTACTGACTTGATTTTTCTATACCTGCTCAAATTAGCTGTGTTTCATCATCCAAAAAGTCCAGTAAATCCTGCTAGAAGGAAGGTATTGGAAGGTGTTCACAGCAGAAGAACTGTTTTCTTTCAGCCTCAGGATTTTCTAGAGCATTGAATCTTTCCTGTGTAATTTTAAATGAGAGTACTGTGATCACCGTTGCAGATTAGATTACTCTTAATCTCTTTTTTGAAGCAGGGGAGTAAATGGATATTCTAGTTTTTAGGAGCCTGTTAATAAAGATAATCCCATTTTCCACCGAGCAACAGTTGCTTGTCTGTGTGCCAGATGTAATTGTCACTAGGAGATCACATGCAGCACTCTGGTCAGGATATGAAACCCTTCTTATAAATGTTAAATGTTTCTTCCTGGCTGCTTGCAATTACCTGTCTGGTATATCCTGGAACAAAGCTATGGAAATATATATTGAGATTATAGATTTTTATTATAGATTATCAATTTTTCTTTCTTCACAGAATCATTACATCATGAATGATCAATCTGTTTTTCATTGATTACTATTTTGTGGTAATGGCTTAGGAGAGCAGAATTACATTTAACTCCAAGTACCTTGGGTACTGTACAATTTTTTTAGGCTTTTGGAGGGGAAAAAGGTATCTTAATATCTGTCTTCTACAGCACTGCATTTCATGGACTGGAAGGGAGTCTCATCCAGTCTATAGCCTGACTGACACTGATAAGGGTGCATTTGTCCTTCATGGGAGATTTTTGCCTCATCTTTTACTGAAGACTGAGAAAGATGCACCAACACGTTGCTTTATAGGGTTAAGCTTTTCTTTAAAGTGTTTTTCTTGGCCCAGTAGTTTCTTGCTAACTGCCTGTTACTGCTTATTCTAGTAAGGTTCTGGAGAATAAATTACTTCTTTCTCTTCTCTGCCAGCCCCTAGGATGTCTTCTATACTGCCTTTCCTTCAATTTGCATTTTTGAGATATATACATTTAAGGGTTTGAATCATTACTTACAATGCATCTTCTGTATACCTTTCATGAAACTTGTTGCATTTGTTGTGAATGTCTGTAATTATGTGATGCTTTTTCTCAAGTGCAGTGTACAAAAGAGGATCCAGAGTCTAGCAGGGGCTACAGAATTGATTAAAGCAGGAGAGTTAATTCATAGCTTCATGCATGCTGTCTCCTATTAAGGATCCTCTTCCAATAATTGTTTTTCTCCCAGCATCATGAGTTATCTTATAAATTTTGTCATTAAAATGTTTTGAAGTTAAAAGCACTAAGTGTGTTATAACAGCATAGGCATCCATTTCCATTTAATTCCAATAAAATAAACATTGTCACAAATAAAACTGCTTTTTAGCCCTTGTTCTTTACAAACTTTGCTTTTTTCTCAGTTGTGTTTAATGTCAGTAGGAATAATTGTTTGTCTTGAAAGTGTTTTTCAGTAGATGTATGCAGGTCAGCTTAGTCTGGTTTATACAGATCAGACTCAGATGAAAATGAATTAAAATATTTTTATTCACTTCAGATCAGAATAGAGTGGCAGAATAAGCCTCTGCTTTCAGAACAGTCACTTGGTGAGAGTGCTTTATATAATCTTTCTGGGTGAACTTGAGCCCTGAGGAAATTTTTGGTAGTTGCAAATCAGGTTTCTGGAACTGCAAGCTCGAAAGAAATGACCCTGCTGCTTTGGGAGTGAGCATTTCTGAAAGGTTCTTCTGTACAGCTGAGAGCACCAGTGCCTTTTGCTGGTATGTGCTTTATCTGTGGGATAATTGGTGCTGCAAAAAGCAGGAACACAGCAAAACACATCTCATTTTGGAGTGCACCTTATTTGCAAGCAGAACAATGCTGGATTTTTCAGTTCTGAGGTGTGGATATTTGAATGCAGTTTGTGTGCAATTTGCAACATACAAATTAATGGCTTAATATAGTTTGAGAAGTGCAGTCTTTCTTAGCACCCTCATCCTTCATGCAGCACATAAAAATCTGGTATTTTTTCATTTTTCCACAGTCTCTCTAGCAGTGACTCATTCCCATATGCCAACAATCCAACTGGCTTTTTTTTTTCTTGAAATAAATTAACGTGACAGCTATCCTGAGAAATGAGCAACATTCCTGCCTTGTATGTGTTCTCTAGAATACATCTTTTTTAGGAGAGTTATTTTCTGTCCTAAGATTTTAAATGCAAATACTGAGTGGCTTGATGAAGTGGGAGAAGGATACAAAAAAATGTGTATAAATACTTCCACTAGGTCAACTCTTAAGATTGTGCTTCTGCCCAGTACTTAAGGGGAAAAAAAAAAGCTTCCTTTAAATAATCCTGGGTTACTTTTGTCTGATTTTTTTTTTTGGTAAGCCCTGAAATTGTCACTTTTAATGTGCAAGACAAAAAAAGACTAATATGGATGTTTCTAAAGCAATTTACTACCTACCAGTCCATTTTTTAATGAGACAGAGAATAGGCTTAGTCTGACACCAATTTCAGGGCATGCTGCAATTCTCTGCAGCTTCACTGCTAAAGCTAGGTGACATTTTAGGAAGGAAGAGTGGGAAAACTGAAATTAAAGGTATACCAAATTAGGATTTTAATTTAAAATATATCCCTGAGTTATTAAAAAAAAATACTGTTTTGTAATTTTCAATATCAATTATTTCAGTTTAGAAATGTTTATGCATTGTATGCAAAAATAAAATAAAAAAAGAAAAGCATCTAAATTATTAAGTGAAACAAATAGAGGATAATAGAGGATATGGTACTAGGGTTGACAATCAAGGCATTCTTACATATATTAAAATATCAGTTCAGCATAACTGGTATTAATTACATTCATTTCTCAATTTTAAATCTTTACCAGCTATTTTCTGCTGCATTTCAGGGATTAGTTTCACCACTTGAAGCTTTGATCTCTCATACCCACAGACTTGCACTTTTTGCTGTCATCTATTTTTCTGACTTAGTTGATGCTGAATCATATAAATATTTTTTTTCTTGCTTTCTGGTTTAGATTTCACATTGCCTGTCCTGATTCAGAGATCCTGTGTGTATTGGACATGATTCCTTGTATCCCTATGAACCATTAGTGCTACTTCTCTTACATCTGAATACAAGAAAAAGAGAAGCAACAAAGCAATGTAGAGCTCCTTACATACATCTCTTGACAAACTCCAGTAATGTTGCAGTTTTTCAGTAGCTTTCTCCTGTTTTTCATTCTCCTGTACTCAAGTACCTGGCCAAAAGCTGTATGTTTGAGAGGAATTTTGTTTTAAGACCTGCCAAGAAATAAGAGGGCTTTTATTACTGAATGATTCATCAGTGCAGAACTTGTTTTGCTCCTGCTGAAGTATTTTGTGTGATGCAGAGATAATTGCCACAGTTGTAAAATATTTTCATTGAGAACAGTTGACATAAAACACTGCACAGAAACTGATCTGTCATCTTTGTTGTTTGGTGAATCATAATGTGTTGTATATTTTGACTTTCTTTTGTTTGAAATATCTCTGTGAAGGTTTAAAAAAAACACATAATTTTGCTCAATTTGTATTTTGAAATACGAAGGTAGCATTTCATAGAACATGAAAGTTGCTGGAATTTTTTTTTTCTACTTCCCAAATTATGAATACTTTAGAGAAAGGAGCAACATATAAGTAATATGGAAACTTATTTTGAGGACTAAAATCTTTTATTTTTAAAGCTGACAAATGGTTGGTTGAAAGTTCTTTCACCTTGTGAGGGCTAAATTCTTTCACATTTGAAAACCAAATCAGGTTTTTTACTGAACAGAATGTACATGTGGGCTTGGAGCATGGGAAATGTTGAAAACTGTGAAAAATAGCCATTTTTAATGGTAACTTGCAGCTACCTCCCTTCTCTGCCACCATGAGTTTGTGTCCCTTCCTTAGCACAAGTGACACAATGAGCAGTGATAAGAGTTCGTGTGTTTGCAACACAACAGCACATGATGTTTAATTCCTGTGTAGTATTTTCTGCAGTTTTGTTTGGAGGGGTCTGAAGAATGGTAGGGTCAGCAGCTCTGGAGCCCTGTAATGCACTTCAGTGGCAATGGGCAGCATGTCCAAGTCACATCAAAGGTTTGGCAAGGCTGCATTTTGGAAACAGAACTTCTAGAATCTCTATCCTAGAACACGTACTGTTGTATTCATACTGACACCTTTTCTGTCTGTCATGCACTATGGGCCCTTTTTTTTCCAAGAAATTAATAGGATTTTAAATAAAGGGTCAGTATGACTCTCTCATCCCAGGCCCTTTGTAGTCCAGTGCCAGGATTTCTCTCTGTTGTGTGCTGGTCGATGCAGGTAATTGACTTTTATATTGTTTCTGTACAAGTCTGTGACAAAATGTTTCATAAACAAATAAATGAGCTGACTGCAAGAACTCAGCATATTAAACCATCTTCAGTGCTTTTCCACTAGAAAGTCAGAACCTGGAGACCAAATATAATTGTCTAAAGACAATGTCCTCTTCTGCTCTGATCTTGGCATATGACCCCTGGCTGCTGCATTTGCTTTGTGATAATGGTTGAGAACTGTAGAAAACACATGGAAAAATCCTCTCTTCTGCCTAAATCCTACTCCAGAATCCTAGGAAATGCAGTGACCACTGTGGCATTCCCATAAGCTCTATTTGGATTTTAAACTTAATTCTGTAAGGACAAAATAAGCTCCAGGGTTGTTATTTGAATATCTGATACATCTTTGAATTTGCTATTCATAACATCTTTGTAAATGTGATATGAACAGAAATGTTTGAAATTGAAATGTACCTTCAGTTTATATGTTCACCACAGCTACAAAGACAAAACACATTTTAATTATCATAACTATGTATATACACACACATTCTTATATATGCATATGTAAATGTACCTACAGTAAATTTGGTTTTCTCTTTTAGGTGTATGCTACGAGTTTTGGATTCCTTTGGCACTGAGCCAGAGTTTAACCATGCCCATTATGCCCAGTCTAAAGGCCACAAGACACCCTGGGGAAAGTGGAACCTCAATCCACAGCAGTTTTATACAATGTTCCGTAAGTACCTCTGTGCTTATCAATAATTTAGAGCTTTTAAAATGAATGCTGTCATTGAGAAGATTTTTTTCATTATGAAAGACAAATTCACAGTTTAATAAAATGCAACTGCAAAATGGGAAGAATTGTGTCAGTGTCTGTACATTGTACAAAAGCTCTGTTGTGCTTCCACCCAGCAATGAGAAAATTAAAATGCTGAGCTAATATAAATAGTGGTGGGGAACTTTATGCTCTGGGTACCTGTGCAAAGTGGTGCTTGGCTTTTCCCTTAAGTGTCAGGGAGTTTGTTACTTTTGCTTTCTCTAATATTAGTATGAAGCAGTAGACCTAGGAACTTGCTAGGTTATATTTTTATAAACTGCATTTCATTGTGTTGAGCTGAAGTTTGGAACTATGTTAGCTATAGTTTTATATTCCTGCTTTTGTTCCTCAACAACTCAGCAGCATCCCTTCACTGTTTCTTTGTGTTCAGAGTTTTAAAATGACCACTCAGCAAAAATTTTTTGTCTCCACTTTTTTATGAATTTATAAAAATTTTTACCTAGTTTGTTTTCATATTGTGATTATTTCTCCTCAGATGAAATGATTAACATTTGTTTGCCAGTAGTGTACAAAGCTATTGTAAAATCAGTAGTAGATTTCAGCACTGCTGTATATCTTTCAAGCATTGATAAATATCTTTTGAAGTGACCCCAGCCAAACCTAAAAAAGAAACAGAAGAGATGCAAAAAAAAAAAGGTATAAATTCCCTATAAATTGGGTCAGATTAAATGATTTGTGTGACCTGGTCTACACCTAGTCTTTGACTCTGGCAGTAGGTTCCAGAATCAAGGGATCTCTCTCTTGGCTGCTGCAGCAGTAATTGAAGTGTGTTATCTCTGAAAGGTCACTGCTGCAGGCTGGAGGGCAAGGGAGGCTCAGGGCAGTTCCTTGTGCTGTGTGCAGAGGCTGCTCAGCCCAAAAATGTAAGGAAACATTTCATGGTGACCAGCACACCTCCAGAATTTGATGCTGTTTCCTGTCTGACATTAAGACCAGGGCTCTGTTCTCTCTCATCAGCTTTCATCATCAATCTTTCAAACTTTCCTGCTTTTCACAGCAGAATTATACATGCTGCTCTCGGGTTGACACGCTTTTGATTTCAGTTGCCCTGTAAAATTCTTGAGAGAGGCATATTTTGTCTGTCAACATTTGCTGTGCAAGTTTTTCCAGAGAAATATAAGTGAAGGTTGTTCAAGAGATAAAAGGCTGCATTCACAGTTGTTGGGAAGCAAGTAACAAAACATGTGGTGCTGAAATGTGACTTGGAAGTGGTTGCAGAGTTTGTGTCTGGATATTAGTAAGCAGAGCTTGTTCTGTATCCACATTTGCTAATATTAATTGGTTCATGTCCTAAATGGAAAAGGGACTCAATCGTGCTTTGTTTAAGTTGTCCAGCTGTTGGGAAATTGAGATGTGAGGTCCTGTTCAGGATAGCACCAAGGGGGATGATGCACTCAATGAAAACAGCTGGATGTGCACTGCTGGTACAGCTGTGTGTGTGCACTACTCAGTCCCACTCCATGACATGCAGAAGAAAGTAAATCTTCTCCTGGAGGTTTCTGTTGTGGCAGTACAGACTGCCACTGGTACAGTCTCTTGTGCAGAGAAAATTGCTTCATAATGAATTTTCCAAAGAGTAAGACTATATTGGAATTTTAATAAATGACAATTTCCAATTTTTACTGCTGGAAATGACTGCAGTTCTTCCTCTGCAGGAAAAGTGGTAAAGAGATTGCAGGCAAACTAATTCTGAAGCATGAGTGATTCCAGTGCTGTGGATTATTCAAGGATTTTCCGTTGTTTTTTTGTTTTGGTTTGGTTTTTTGTTTTGTTTTTTGGTTGTTGTTTTTTTTGATACTAGGTGCAGATGAGTCAACATGTTTTGTGATATTTAAAGTTGATATTTGTTTTGTTCTCTGATGCAGAGATAGCACCATCTTTATGGGGTTGTGATTAAAAGTGCATATTATGCACCAGTAAAGATTTTATGGCAGATTGGAACCCTGGACAGCTTCCCAAGATCCCCAGACTCTATTATGTTTTGAGAACTCTGATTATAAGGGCAGAAAATTATCCTGAGCAACAAGCAAGCCATATTCAAACCTGTGGCATATTACCAAGTGCTTGACTGTTCTCTGAGTTTTCCAGAAGCATGAGAGCTTTTCCCCCCTTTTATGTTTTCCATGTTTTTAGTTCAAATACCTTCATGCTAAATAACAGCACTGGTACTTCTAAAAGTGCGTGGTCTTGCTTAAAAATCCATCTGAGTGCTGCTTCCTGTCCATGATATTTGAGACACTGAATTCCACCAGTTCTAAGTGCTAACTTTAACAAAGGTTTATTTTTCTTTTGAGTGTGTGCTGCCTTGACTCTACTTTCAATGCAGTCTCTCATCCAAAAATATGAAAGGATGGAAAAATGCCCCTTCTCAGACATATTCTCAGAAATGTGCTGTTTGCTATGTAAAATTCTAAAAAGTCCTTGGGTCTAAGTGGGTGCCTGGCTGTTGCTGAGGCATTTTTATGTGAAAAAGAGTAATTGTCATTTGAAAGACTAAATGTAATGGCAGAGGGAGTGTATGGTTTCTCTGTTCTCCTGTATTATCCACTTGGCTTATTTTTAGGAAAAAAATGCAAAGCCTCATAATTGCAATAGAATTTTTTTTTAATAACTCTACTAGAGGTTTAGCATTACATGTATTGAAAATGCCTGGGGTGTTGTCTTTGGATTTAGGGTCTTTTTGTTTTGTTTTGTGTTCTTAAGCTTTTCAAAATGTGATTAATTGTCAGCTTGTGTGCCAGAATTTAACAGGAAGCCTAGAGAGGAGATCCTGCTGTTTATTGCAGCCTTTTTCTATGTGCACTTGTGAGGCTGTGGCACTTCTTAGAGGCAAAAAAACCCCATGTGTTGGAGTAGTTTTTATATAGTAGGGATGGATTTTTACCTGAAGCATTGAGTGTTGGAGTCCATCACTGAAATTAAACACCCTTACTTTTAATGAGCCTAAATATTTGTGTCTTTATAGGGGGGAGAACAGTGACCAGCACTGCTGGATGTCACTGCTGTAAAAGGAAAACACTGGGGATAAAAAGAATATGAAAACCTATGAGTAAATTGTGTATCTTTTGCACACACTTTATTTGCCTGGGTGGGATCGAAAACAGTTTTGCCAACTTCACTTGCCACCTTTAAATATTTTATGATCACTATGTCTGGGTGAATGAGGCAATGCAATTTGTATTCTGGTTTGCATAGTGTGACTTGGTAGGCCAGTAATTAGCATATATTATCACTGACACACAGTGAGTTGGGTGGTTGGTGCTGGTAATTCCAGTATAGGAGGTGAACCCAAGAAATTTGCTAAAATTTATTTATGCCATTGAGCAACTTCCAACTTTGCTAACAAGCATAAATCCAGGGGGTTTTCAAACTGTTGGTATTGTATCTCTGAGATTTGTCTGGATTTCTTCTGTTTCTTTTATCTCTAATAACAAAATAAAGCTTAGCACACAGACAAAAAATATCATTACCATTGGACTCAGTCCAGCTGCAGCGTTTTTATCATCAGAAACAAGACAGAAAATAGCTGCTTACTCCAGTAGGCACACGGAGCAGGACTTAAAATTAATACAAACTATTTTGGATAATAAAGCAAGCAAATGTATCTTTCAGTGCTAATAAGAAGGAGATCATCAGTTGCATAATATGTTCCTTATAGCTTCTTTTCTGACAACATTCACTCTAATGTAGCATAAACCAATATTTTCAAAGGTGCTGAATCTGCTCTGTTTCTTACAGCGCACACTCCAGATAACAGCTTCCTTGGATTTGTAGTAGAGCAGCATCTGAATTCCAGTGACATTAAGCACATTAATGACATCAAAAGGCAGAATCAATCTCTCGTTTATGGCAAAGTAGATAATTTCTGGAAGGTGAGTTTTTTTTATACTCATATGCTTTAGTAAATTTATGTTGGTCGATATAATAAAGCATAATTTAAAATTTGAAAGTGTCCCATCTGTCTAAACCCATTAAGTTCTTCTTCTGGAAACAAACATATTCGAATAATTAAATTGAACATTTTAAAGTCTTTCTGTTAGAGAAATTTCTGTCTAGATTGATGTGGATCCTTTGCTATTTCTGTACACCTTTCTGATAGAATAAAGATATAGTCTTAATGTCACAATAATTTTAGAAAATGCAGAAGGCTGGTAAACATAATGGAAAATTTAAGGTGTGAATTTTCATCAATCATAAGCAAACCTGTCTTTCAATTACTTCTGTTCGTATGTCTACAACGAAAAATGTGCTGCATTTTGAGATTGAAATTCTGTTTCACTAAGGGTTCTAAAAGTGTGCAGTCTCATTTTATCTCCTCATAATAATATCAGAATTCTGTTTCTTTAATATTACCATTATTGTATTTTCTCTCATCTGCAGATGAGAGCAGCAGAATAACAACAGCAAGGTTTGGTCATATTTTCACTAAATTAAAGTATATTGTGTTATTACGTCACAGTGTTCTCTTTTTTTTTTCTTCTTTTTTTTTTTTTCCCACTTTCCTTTTCTGTGACTCCTTCTGCCAGGCTGACATATCTGGGAATGTGTGTCTCATGCAGTTTTTATAGAGATTACTTACTAGTAACTGGATTTCTTCCAAGTTACCTCCAGCTCTGTGTGCCCAAATACTCTGCATGCCCATATCCTCCATGTGCCTTCCCTCCTGCCTAAAAAACCCTTTAAGCCTCTTGTCAACTGAAAAAGGGATTTTTTCAGTGCCATGCATAGGGCCAAACAGTGCAAGAGCACCTGGCTCTCACATTGTCATTCCTTTTCTCTTTATTGGCATGAGAATATTGGTCTTGCACAGTTTTTCAAACCACAGAAGCAACATTCATTCTGACCATTAAGATTATACAGAATAAATTCTCTAAAGATGATAGCTACAAGTAAATGGTCCATCTGTGAGATGAAACAAGACTAAAATTTGATAGAAACAGTAGAATGTTTGCAGTGGTAGCAGAACAGTTAGAGTTGGTTGCTTCTTGGCTACTGTGCTGAGAAAGATATGTAGTAAATACATGAAAGTATTTATATTTTGTGTTTGGCTCATGGTATAGAAGGACTCTGTGTGTCCCTGTGTGCAGTCTTTCCTGTCTGCAGAGTGCTGGAGCAGAACTGGAATCCTTTCTTGAAGTCTTTTCAAGCTTAGGCTCTTCTGCTTTTACTTGTGACTCGTACTTTTACTAGTGACTGATCTCATTATCAGTCTCTGAAGTACAGCAGCATGCAATAATCATCTGAACTTCCTGGCCTGATTTGCAGTGCACATCAGCAGAAGGACATGTTGAATACTAGTTGGATTTAAGGAACAAGACAGCTCCTTAGTCACCAGGGTGTTTTTCACTGACATATATATATTTCTCAGTTTATTCAGTCTGTATGGAGTCAGAAATATGTATGGATATTTTATATACCCAGAGGGGAGATTTGCGATTAGTCTCAGATTTTGTATGACACACAGGATATTCATGGACTGATTTAGACAAAAAACATGGGTTTTTGGATAAGAACATCCAGTCTTGATTTTTAAATAGCACACAGTGGAAAAGCCCACTGTTTCCTCTGGTGAAGTCCTCCAATAATTGTCTTCTCCCTTAAGACTGGCATTATTTCTAGTACAGATTTCCATGTGGTTGCTTCAAGTCTTAGTAGCAGTTAAAAACTTTCTCAGCTGGGCTGATGATGTTTCTGTTCTGTTGCCCTGTAGGAATATATAGGTTGAGGTCAAAGTAGCCCATAGTCATCTCCTGAAAAGTCTGTATATGCTGAACCCCTGAGAGCTTTGTGCTTTCTAATCCTCAAGAGTTTTCACATGTCTGTTTTCTCTGAACCCTCTCAAGATTATTCACATTCCTCTTGAAATGTGAATGTTTGCAAAGGGCACGTGGGCCATACCAGCATCCAATCCAAAAGGAAATACTGTCTCCTTTTCAGACAGGTCCCCTTTCCACCATTAGGAACTCTCAGCCAAGACCTTTGTATCATTTTTCAAGTGCTGCTTTTCAAGTCACTGCTGTATTTTATCACTATTGCCTATCTTGTTTTTTCCAAGATGTCTCATCTGGTATCTGGCCATATTAAAATGTGTACTGTGTGCTCGTAACATCGAGCAAATTAAAACTGTAATTTGCAGATTGTAACTGCAGTCATGCCCATATGCACTCATATATAAAGTGCAAATCACTGCAGATAGGCTTTGAATCAGTTACAGTGTGGGATTTCTTATCTGGAGTGATAAAATCCAATTCTTGTGATCAAGAGAAAGCCTGAACTAATCTTCTATGTGTATAATTTGCTTATTTCACGTTTCTTTCATTTTCCCTGTTCAGTGCTCTTTTCATCTGCCACCATGGCTTGTATGGAACCAGACTAATCTATTTATCCTGCTCCTGTTCTTCTTACTGAACATGGCCAATTAATGAGAAGTGTAATCTGCACAGAGTACATGTGTCACTGCTGGGGCTGATCAGTCATTAGAGAAGCACAGTGGAGAGGGGGGAGCATTCCTGTCCCCAGACTTTGGTGCTTTTGGGGAATAGCAGTGACAAATCAATTGTTTAATTTTAAACCAAGCAGGCTGAAGTGGGACTGAAGTGTGCACAGGACCTCTTCTCCCTGGGGCTATATAAACCACCATGGCTTTATACAGCCATGGATAATACTGGCTCTTTTCTGTGTCTGAGCCCAGTGACATCCATCCCATATCACAGTGGCCAAGCCTGGGTGCACCTCTTGAGGTCAGGATGGGTGTATGGTGCAGAGGGTATGAGACACATCTGCTTTATTGTCCTCTAATAACTAAATCAGTCCTAGGTGGGTTGAGGATTGCAAATCTCAGAATTTGTAATGTGTCTAAAGAATTTTGCCACAGTTCTAAAGGTAATCTTTGGAGGTAAGATATGAAGGGCAACATTTGCCAAGTTTTGGAAAAGTGTTTGTTGGGATTAATGGTTTGGGGTTTTGTCTGGGAATTCTGGCAGTACTAAGGAGTAAAGAGAGTCCTATCTGCCAAAGTGGGTGGGGGAAAGGAATTAATAAAATGTGTGTGAAACCCATAATGCTCTCCATTATCAAAATTTGCTTTAATTACAGAACATTTCAATTAAAAGAGAATGTTAGAAGCTTTTCATGCTGACTTAGCTCCTGTTTCTAAGTCTTTTCTTTGTTCTTCCTGCAACTTACTGTTTTACTCTTCCACTAATTTGACCCTTAATCCTAGAAGAAAGAGTAGAGAATCATTTTGCAGTACTTGCTATTCCTTTTTTTTTGTGAGCTGTGAGGGAAGTCAGAAGGTTGCTTTATGTGAAAATAGGCATCAATGCATAACATATGATCACTGCTTTAGTATTTTATTATAGTCTCTTGGAGCTGTCTTGAAAATATTTGTATATTTAGAGGCAAAATAATGTGTGAGTTTCTTACTAATGCCACTTGAAAAGCTGGGCATTCTCCTTAAATATATACTGCCTGCATAGCAACTTCTGAAGAGCTGGATTGGAAATGGTTACCTTTAGCTTCTTCTCAATGGGAAAGCACATCACCCAGGCTGTTCACACGAATGTCTTCCCTTTATAGCTCCAGGGAACATGCAATGAAATGGAATTTCACCAACATATGCCCCCTTGCACAAAGCAGGAGGAAAGTCCCTTCCTTCTGGTTGGTTTTTGTACTTCATGTTTAGTGTTGCACTTTGAAGAAATATTTCAGCTTTTCAACTAAAAGAAAAGTAAAGGGACAAAGTCCTTCTCACTTTTTCTCCTCTGTGGTCAGTGCACTCACAGACTTGTCTTGTGATTGCTCTATTTTGTGTTCCTCCAAATGTGCAGCAGCACTGGGGGTTTATCAGTTGATCAAAGGTTACCTTAGAGCCTGGCACCAGCACTGTCCTGCCTTATCCCACGAATATAACAATGGAATATATAAATTGGAATGAGCCAGACATTTTAGCTCAGCAACATTTCTGAAATTCACCATTTCCTTCTGAAAGCAGTATGGATCCAAAACAAGTAAATCAAAATAAATTGAGTGCAGTAAATAAGCATCCACTTTTAAAGGCTTATTCTTTAACATTTATTATGAAAATTAGAATTTAATGTATTATGAAGGAAGGAAAAAAAACCCTATTGTTTTCATGGATATTTACCTGCCAGTGATCTCACTTTGCAGAACTCTTCAGCTGCAAAATGAATTAGAGAGGTCTTACAGTACTGATTAACACAATCATCTCTTGTTACTTGGTCAGCACAAAACCAACACAACCTTTTCTTCCTGTGGTCTCACTTTCTGTTTTCATCTGTACTCCTGCACTTTTGTCCTTCAGCAGTTACAGTGCACAAGGATGTCTCATTGTTGGTTCTGGAAATTTCCATTCAAAGAACAGGAAATTGCTGCTTAGGTGTTGGTGTGCATTGCATGACCATGAAATTGTCAAATTGGGAAAAACTCCGTGTTTAAAAAACTCCAACTCTTCATGGATGAAAAAGATGAGGATAGGGAACTGGATAAGGTTCTTTAAGCTCTGCCAGAAATCCTAAACCTTCACTGAGATGTTTTATTCATTTTTAGTGCAAAATTTATATAGGTGCCAATGTATGTTTTATTCAGAGATACATGGTGCCTTAAAAAGAAGCCATAAATGGACATTCAGGAAGAGCAAGAGCATGGCAAAGTTATATAATACTTCCCTTGCAAATTCTTCCTCTTTCCAGCTTTTCTAATCTGATGTATTTCCTGAATCTGTTTCTCTGTTGATAAACTGTCTGTTCACACATTTTTGAGATGTCAGTAAGAGGTGATTTCAAAGTGTTTGTTTGATCATGAACCTATGCAAACATTTTTTTGCCTCTGCAGCTTTCTCTGTTATGGAGTC